GTGTGTGTGTGTGTGTGTGTGTGTGTGTGTGTGTGTGTGACAAACCACTTCCGAATGCAATCCTTTCGTATGCGACATCGTACACTATTAAAAGCCAGCTGCACGGTGAAACCCGAAAGTGGATGTCAATTAGGTTTGTGCAACGCTTATAAAACCTACCCTGCCTTGACCTCGACTGACGCTGCCTAGTACAGAATTCTACGAGATTAGCTGGCGTATGAGATTACGATAATATGTTTCCTATCAGAAAAAAAGCGAATGGCTTGCCATGGAACATAATGTTTGCTTCAGTGCGCCACAAAGGATATAAACTGAAGAAGTTGAATGCAGACTCCGTAATGACCCATAATGTAGGATAGAGTGAAGAGCATATTGCGATGCCAAAGAGTATTGCCTTTGAAGCTTAATCATACATCTATGCAAAACATGTTTTGCAGTTTTTCCACTTTTTTCAAGGTCACATGGATTCTCAAGAGCACCGAAAGCCGCAATCGTAGTGGTACAAGATTTTTCCTCAACTCTCGAAGGGAAACATAGAGCATATCATAAAACAGCTACCAGTTTGTTGACTCAAATACTTTGCCCATGGTGACTTAAACAGACCCTTCCTGGTCACGTTTTCAATCAGCCTTCTCTTTTTCCTTGTCAGTTAGAGACATCCGATCCACTTAGCTTGCTCTGCAAATCGGATATCTTAACGAATGAGGATGGAACTGTTTCTATCTGACTTTTCCAGATTCCTTCAACAACTACCTCGACAGCCCCGCCCAGAATTCATATTACTACTAATAAGGTGAGTTACTATAAGAAAATACTGAATTATAGGCCAAGCATCAACCTCGGAAGGCGCACGAGTTGATTTGATTCCCATCGCTCCCGTGCATTACGAAGGCATGGTTCAGGTCTTTCTCTCGTCGGGAGCTAAATGTTCTTTTACCCCTAACCCGGTATCGCTGCGACGTATTCCGCATAGTAAAGTACAGAAAAAACAACAGTTGATAGGTCAAGAAATCGACCTGCTTTTGTTAGCATTCAGGTGTTCACGTCTCTCAGACGGAGTCATAAAGTCCCGCATTCGACATGTGTTGCAGTTTGGAACGTATGCTACATCGGAAATAAAAAAATAGGGCAAAGTCAGAAACATCAACAATCTGTAAGATATCGCTCCAAATAAAAAGCCGAGGGAGGAATGTTGTCAGTTGGCACATTACCACACAATATAGTCCAGGATTGGAAGCAGAGTTTACAGAAGTTCTGAGTCACCTAATTCAAGTGAAATAAGGGCCGTTATGGTGCAGAGTAGAGAGTAGTGCAAAAATGACAAAGAAAAAGCGAAGATTGGGGGTTTCAAAGAATATTCGTAAGGCTTCAGAGAAGTAGCAAAGAAGGGGTATCTATACGAGTGTACACGGCATGCGCGACCTCCCAGGTCATCTCTCGAAAAAGTAATTTACGAAGTAAGTCAAGATGCTGAACTCTTCTTGATCAGTATTTAGCAAATGAGCTATATGTTAGGCCATGGTATCCTTTACAGATACCCGATCCAACAATCGACCGTTCTCGAATAGAAATCCATCGGCCGCCTCTGAAAGAGAGTGTACGTCACGATGAGTCGAGGAACGAAGCTACAATCCACGTACCCAAATTCCCAAACCCTGCCCCTCCTTTTCGATCTCCCTTTCCTCACCACCATTACACGACCTCATCATCGACAACCACCTCTACAACACCTCCAATAGAAAAGTAAGTACGTACACTTACGACAAAGACTCAGAAAAAATTCACTTCTTTTTATTCCAGAGATGACGTTACTATCGTGACCGCTTTAATGGATATTGGCAGAGGTGATTGGGACCGTTACCGCCGCCCTCTCGAGCAATATCATTTGTTTATGGAGAATCTGCTATCCCTCCAGAATTATATGGTAGGTCACTTTACTGCAATAATTCCCTTTGTGTCATCCCGTCAAAATATCAAAAAAAAAATGAAGGGAAGCATGACTGCCATTGGGCATGCAAGGACTATTCCTAATGGCGGTGTGCTGCCTCTCATCAGTGAAACATGGAATAAGTTTCATGCAGTAGAATTCTTACTCCTCCATACAATCGTCACTTGAGCCAAAACTAGAGTTCGAGTTCGCGGCTCCCACACTAATCTACATGTTGCTTATTCAAAGGTGTGGCCACACATTTATCCCAAAGGTCTTAAGTGACCATCACTCTAAAAGATCCCCCTTTCGCATCGTTGTTCCATTTTCAGGTAATCTTCACGGACATATCGAGCTACAGTTTTATTCATAAATACCGGAAAAATATGGGAGAAATGCATCGCACAAAGGTGAGATCTCCTGATTTTGTAGAGCTCTTCTAAGCTCCTCCAAACTTTCTGAGGGAACGGTCGAATAACCTTGTTCGGCGCCAGTTTTGTTGATGGAACTATTTCCCTATGAGAGTTAGGCTCTTTTGAGAAGACTGAAATTTTGTTGCTTGACTTTTTTCTATGAGAACAAAACCTGTCTGTATCACATTAGCTGCCACTGCTTGCTAGGAATCCTAGGCCTAATACCAGTGTTCTATGCGTGACTCGGGTTTGGGAAGGATGGCTCACACAAACGATTTAAGGGATCGGTGTTTGAAGGAAATTGGCATGCACAAGTTCCCTTCCAGAGCCTCTCAAACTGTTAACTCTATTTTGTGTAGGTAATGACTGAAATTTTCAGAGGCACTGTCAGTAATAGCTGGTGGATGCGCTACTACTTTTTATTCAGATCCATTTGATAACCCTGAATGACCTCCCGCTAGCCCGTCATTTGGATGCTGCAAGTAAAATCATCGAAGATGAGCATCGTAACGACAAGCTGTGGCGATCGATATGGGATCCAGCAATGAAGGATCACCCAGAAGCAAGAAGCGCTGAGTATGACGTACTGGTCAACTCGAAAACCTATTTTCTCTACAATGCAACTGTGAGTGACAACGATTAACGTTAAGTCAATCACACTGAAATGACAGTATTGATAAAATTTCAGATAGAAGACCCATTCTCGACAGAATTTTTCGTTTGGATTGATGCTGGCTACGGACACGGTAACCAAAGTGTTTTCCCCTACAACAACAAATGGAAGCCGCATTTCCCTTCCAATAAAATTTCCCTAATCAAAGTTGGTTTTTGCAAGAACTCGTGATCCTTAACAAAAAACATCACCAAACTTTTGAAGGCCTCACGGATGTCATTCACTTCAAAGGTTTATTATGAAGGTTATTTGATTGCTCACAGCAAAAGTGGAAGCATGGAAAAAATTCTGAAACGTTGGGTAGGAAAAGGGCAGATTCATCACTACATCCACTGTTGGATCGCCCTACGGTGCAGCCTAAAATAATTGCTCGGAGACCATATCACGACGGGCAGCTTGAAAAGTCATGGTTCTGGCAGTGTAATTAGTCGCAAATTATATGAGTTATGTTCCCCTTTTGTCCTTGTCACGATACAGTGTAATCCGGTGTACCCTGATTGCCTAAAAAACACAGGGGTATGATTTCTTTGATTCAAAGCTTTCGCGAAAAAGCTCGAAGATCGCAATGGTTGCCATCCTGGTATTCGTTTGACGATCCGAAGGAACCAGTCAGCGACCACCGTGGTCCAGCGGTTATCACGATACCGTACGGTCTCCGATCCTACCGATCTTCATTTTGCATAAACAGGGGCATCCCTGATCTTTGCCTGTTGACGAGGCTTGCAAGTGCGCTACTTCTCACGAGTGTCCACACTCACTCTAGTGCCTTCCCATTCCGAATGACGCATGATGTGCTAGAGCGGCGTTGAAAAGCATGGGGGGTTGGCATTGCCCTGCCAGGCCCACTTTTCACGTTGACAATGACGTTTTGTAGAATGGTGAAATCCTAGTCGCAAACTTATGAAGCATCCCTTTTTATTGAGTAGGAACACAGTGGTTGCCTGATAGCTGCATTCTGTATTTTCGCACTCTTCATCGGATTCGTGACATTGTCGGAGTGGTCGATTGTACAAAACCCTCTGCGGAACCCTGCTTGTTCGCATAGCTGTCGCTCATCTATTATTCTGCCAATGCTGTTATGGATGACTCTTGTGAAAAGCTAACAGTTTAATGGCAGAGAAAGAATGAATGATAGCTGCCATAATCAACATCCTTTTTATACAGCATCTCAGTCTTGCTGAAAAAAAATGAGCCGACGTGAGCTTCTTGCATTCCAAAGGTAATGCGTGAAGAGCCTAGTCACGATTTCCACGATAATTGGTGAGAGGCTCTCAGATATCCTGGTTTAATCCTACTAAGTTGATATGGGGCTTAACTACTTTACTGGAGGCGGAACCTCATCTCCCGCTTACTTCCAAGTACTCGAATGCAAGCCTATGGCTGTGCCTATGTGTAAGATACCACCCGCTCCCGCAAGCTCTCCTCATACGTATGCATGGATGCAGCAGCAAGAATCCAACTTAGCAAAAACAAGAAATCCATCCCCTGAATCTGTCTCCGAGCAAGTACTGGTGAGTTTTGATCCGCAATTCATTCCCCGAGCCGGAGCCACCACCTGGTTTCGCCCCACGTTAGGATTGTATGTTCAAAAAGTCTCATTCAACTGGATGAGGTCGTGCCAGGTAAGTAGCGTCGTTACTAAACGACTTCAGAAGATCCTACTATGGATCCACGCACAAAATTTGCAAGATTGCAGGAGAATTATTCCGAACATTCTATCGTATTATGTTTCGAAACTTCTCCTATAACTTCAGCTTACTCCGGTGCACGATTCCATCTCCGGCTATAATATCGGCAGTCTCTACCGCCGCAACTGGTCGGTGATTTCAGGAGGGTTCGTTGCAGGTGACAAAAGGTCAGTCTTCGCAACCAATCAGTTTCAAGTTGGTCAACTTCAGAATACCGGGCTTCTTAATTTGCATAGGGTACATCAATAGACATGCTTTTACGATGGCTCAATGAATGGCCTCGAAAAAAATTACCTTTTCAAATGTTTTACACCAAGAAATGAAAAAAATCGGATTCTTTTATCGGATTTCAGGTCGATTGGGCAGTTGTATACACTTGTTCATAGGAAATTTATCGAATTAACATACCATAACAAGGTGGACGACGATCAGGTAAGTGTGGAGAAGATAAGTACGACCGGCCACATCTATTAGCAATTACGTTTGTTGAGGTAGAAGGCACTCGGTAGTGCACAATAAGGGAGGAAATAAAAGAACCCCTACCCAGATTCTTCCTCTGGTAGTTCATTCAAGCAGATGTGGGTCTGGTGATTTGAAACTGTGCAGGAACAAAACCTAGTTTGGCTCTCCGGCGTGATACCACAAGTACTACCATTTCTGAAATTCTCAGCCATGACACTCTACATGGTCAAAAAACGGCCAGCGACACCACGATCTTACCTTCTTAGGATCATTCCTGCATCTAGGTGGCCCGCGATAGGGGTTCTCCACCCATTAAAAATTTACTACTTTATTCCAGCCACTGAATCCCTATGATCGGAAATAGGTGCGTGAACATTCTACTTAATTGGTATGTGTTACCCGTCACAAACCCCCTTTTATTAGGAGCGTTGATACGCAACAACGACTTGTGACTAACCACAAGTAGAACGAGTTAACGTGAGGGCTTCGACTACGTTTGGAAAATATGACCAAGAACCGTTCCAGAGGGCTTATTTCTCCTGAAAACGAATCACCGACATATTTAACCATTAGGACCGCAACCATTAGGTAGCGTTAAAGGCACCGTTCGCGATGATTCAATGGGCGGGTGTGTCGATGACGTGTCCGCCTCTCNGAGAGGCGGACACGTCATCGACACACCCGCCCATTGAATCATCGCGAACAGTGCCTTTAAGTAGGCACTTTTTTGTAGTAAAAATTGCTCTCTCCCGGAGCATGAGACTAGATGGAAACCAATGGTAACCTTACATGGCCATCTTGAATATTTACCAAATAAATTCCATTACGACTAAAGTTGTAGCTTCCAGACAGTGCTTGTGCTGGTAATTAACTCCTACCCGCAACTGTTCTCCATTACGCATGGTGACTGGTTCGACGCCTTTCGCCTTTTCAGTAGCGATCAATCTCAGTACGGTTGAGGTGATAGCATACGTTTCTATGCCCGTGCTGTCCTTTTCATGGCTCTTTAGTAATAATTTATGACTTTTGTACGCATATTGCTTACAAAATCTCTATAGGCAAATGTACGTGTTTCTCGGATTTCAAGCACTTCATCCAACTGTGATAAAAACGAGTAGTATTGAATACTTTCCTGATCCCACTGCCAATATCCTGATTCGACTGTATTAGCTGACACTCTTACCAGTTCTTTATCTCTATATAAATCTATTACTATTATAGCACATCTCGAAACTCGCACATAAAAGTTAGTATTCTTCTTCCACGTAGTCTTCTCGTTTCACCTTCAGTTTCAATAACATTGTTTTCGCCAAAGCACGTGCCTAAATATGTCCACATTGACGGAAGTATATTTCATGTAGTACTAATAAAAAACAATAAAAAATAAAATAAAATTAAAAATCTTGTAAGGTCACATGTTTTTCTTTGACAGTTTACAAAGAACCGCTGTCTCCATAGCACTACAGTGACACAGTTTTTCAGTCAGACGTGCTGAATTTTGCCTTCTTTTCGTGTTTTCGGAAGTTTCTGATTTAGAGGATTCTGCCTCGTAACAATGTTGAGGCAGTCACTAGAATTGGATACGTCCCGATCGGCCCTTGACGCACTGCTGATCGTATGATCGGTAATCTAACGAATTAACAGCGGGCGCAACATCTATAAAATTGAACGAAGCAAGACAAAAATAGGATGCTGAGCTGGAATCAGTGCATAAGCAGAGCTTTTCGGTGTTCGCAGTTGCACCTATTGCAGATGCGGGTTGCTTTGAACAGTATTAAAGCAAAATGACAGTAAGATCTTTTATAGCATCAAAAGTTATTTCACTCTCTGGCAAGACCAGCTCAAAGTTCCACGCAGTGATGATAATACCCTACCCGAATCACCAATTTCGTAACGATCTTAACAAACACCTATTTCGTGAGCCAGCCTCCCTCCTACTAATTACCTACGAAAATAACAACTATAAGAATAGCCTTAAAGACCATCCGTCGTCGTTATTTGACAAATGTGGAAACCCTGCTACGATTATTGTAAGGCCATCTTCCAGATATTATATTAATCTTTCCTCCGTAGACAAGTATAAGTTAGCTTTTAGAGGCTTGTTCGTTTGCTGAAGACGAATAGCACAACATCGAAAGGGTCTGCCACACCACAGAATCTGTCAGTCGTGATATGAAGGTCAGGCGCCTTAGAAGGAAGTAAAGCGATATTTCATGCAAAACCTAAGCAATATGCTGTATAAAGGGTCATGTTACCGCAGACCTAAGATCACATATGTGTATCATGCTATCGTTACCTGCGATGAACTACACATTGGACCGCGACTTAGTACCCCATATTTAGTGAACACCAAGAAAGACATGTATTCCTGAAAGCACATCGAGAGACCACGCTCGGAAACGGATTCGAAAACATCGAACTAATTCTACAATAGAAGTCATTGTGCTTCGCCGATCACTTCTACTAAGTGCCAGAAAATGTGCACAAGGAGGATAAGCAGCACAAGGGAACCGCATTACAGGTCTAATTTTTAACAAGCACGTCTATTACCCGTATAATGGCCCCGTTCCGGGTACGGAAGTTACGTGCGTCCGCGGCAAATTGCGCGGCGAAGTTCATTGCGATTTGAACAACTTCAGCGCCTATCATTGAGGCTCAAATTTGAAATAGATAGATCAGTAGGATTGGCTGACCCTATTAAACGAATCTACTTCAAGTTTGGGCCCCAGTAGTAGGTGATAGAGTCGTGCTAATCGCCACTAACTTTGCCGCGCGCATCCTCGGACGCACATAAGTTCCTTCCCCACTCCCCCCCCCCCCCCCCCCCCCCAATCCTTGTCTAAGGAATATAAAACCATAAATTTCACTTGTTGTGGTGCGACATAGGTCCATGAGTTTTTGCGAAGCATCTGGCTTAAACCAAAGTGAGGTTCTACACCTTCTGAAATTTCTAGCACAACAAGGTCGAAATTTCACAATTGGAAAGGAAAAGCAATAAGAAAAGAAGAAACGAAGTCAGGAGGACTAAACTCTAATTGAATGGAACGCACCTTCAGTTCATGTTCATTATGTGCGTGGGTTTTGTATGACGCAATGAAACATTTGATTGCTTCCTCCTTGTGGCCAGACGAGTGGTGAGCCATACCCATATAATATAGATTGCGCGTTGAGAAGTGACTCTGAATGAGAGTTCAGCTTAAAAAGCGTCTATTTGAGGTAAAATTGATGTTCTCACGGAATGCCTCAAACAGAGTTATGATGCATTCTGTGAGATCACTTCAATAAGAACCTAAAAGATAGATTTTATGTAGAATGTGTATGTATGTTTTTAAATGTTTTATGTGGAGTGTCTCCTTCATGATGCAACTTTGTCCGAGAAATCCATAGCAGACACTTGACTCTGCCTAAGTCCACTTCAATGGTTTTTGCTTTTCACAGAAACGTCTCTGCCAATAATTGTGGTTAATCCATCGACATCACCTTTCTCAGACTTGAGGCACAGTTATCTGGAGGAAACTACTATCTTGATGTCAAAAACTGCTTCAGCATTTCGGCTGCCTTGGCAATTCCAATCTGTGGCAAACTCTTGGTAACAAGCAACCTGATCTCTTCAATGTCTGTTAGCAGCTTAGCGTCTTCGAGAAAACGTTCGTATCGAGGGCAGCTTATGCATACAACTACTAAGCCATTGGTTTGACCACGAATAGAAGGGATATGATATCCACTAGTTTTGATATTTGAAATTTGTCGAATCTATTGGGTTTCACAGGATTGACACACTACGACAATTTTTGGTCGAGAACTTGATTTTATCAAATAAAAAATTATAAATGAATGGCAGAAAAACATACGATTGCTTTCTGCGCTCTGTCATGAATCTGCCATTCATTCTGATTGCCACTAATGTGTTACATTGTAATGTTCGTAACCCCGTTGAACCATAGCTTGGAGGTCAGGAAAAAATTGAGAGATGAATAAGGTTTAGAGTAGGCGCTGCAAACCGTATGCGTTCAATTTCAAGCGGTTACGTTCACCATTTGTGAAATTAGCATGCTTGCCATCTCTACTTACTCTTTTTCAAAATCCCTGCCCCTTTTCAAAGCTGTACCCGTTTTGAAACTCGACAGGATCAAGATTGGCCAGTAGTCTATACGAATACAATTCAAGTTTTAACACTTTGACGTCTATGCCGCTCAGTGGTACGAGATTCTTTTCCGTATCCATAGAGCAGCTATCACATGACTTTCAAAACCTAATTAATTTTCACTGACATAACAACCACGAACTTCAATATCCAAGTAATGGAGAATAGGCAGCAGCCAGCAAAGCTTACTCATCTTGCCCGCAGCAACTCGTCGACAAAAGAAGTGCCTTTGGATCTTGTCGAATCGGTCCTCGTAATGAGATTTACGGCAACTGAATGTCTATTTCTATCAACGTATGCTAGGCTTGAGTGACCCGTATATCCGCTGATTATCAAATGGTCAGCGAAACATCTGTAAACATAGGCCCAAGAGTCTTCTCAGTTCATCTGAGTCGGCGGAAGTCCAAATATAATGCTCGAAATCCTACTATAATACTTCTCCTGACCGTAAAAGTTGATCTGGTCAGATACCACCGGGAGTAGTTCTTCAGGGAACACCTCATAAATTTGGTGTGGCTACCTTTCTCTTCTCGCAGTTATCCGCCTCTGAACTGCTTCCAGCATATTTAGAAAAGATTCATCTGTCACATTTTTAAGCACCGTTCATCCATATGCTCTCTGTTCCTTCGTCGTAGTCGTCAACTAAGTTCCAGTGTCGTACTCATCGGCGTCAGGAACAACGGCAGGAGCCATAACAACGCCATACACACCACTGAAGGCTTCTTCGTTGCTGTTGGGCATGCGTTTCAGCGCTTTAGTGGATAAAGATAATGATACTCTCGAAAATCCTATTGCAACACTCCAGACTCCAATTCATCACCTGAGCCGAAATTGCACGCCATTGGGAGAAAATTAGAACATTGCTAGAGGGATTGTGAAATTTTTGACCTATAATGCAATTCGAACTTTTTTTTTTGACCGCACTCTTCTTTTTTTTTTTTGAAAACTAACATAATTTCAACAAGAAAACTGTCTAGTCCCACGCGTCAGACATGGGAAAATGGCTCGTCGTCAACGTGTTGAAGCTGTGCAGAGAAAAACTCTTAACAAAACTGATACCAACCCTAATATTTTCGGCTTTCTGGAAACACGAAAGCGCTTCTGCGTAATTCTTCTTCTTGTAATGTGCGACCCCTGTAAATTGGAACAAAATTAAGACGAAGTCGAGTTGAGTCGAAAGTTGAGCTGCTTCGGGGCTAGTACCTATGTTCAGGAAGAGATAACTGACCCAGCATGTGCACTGTATAAGCGTCATCCGCATCTAGCTCAACGGCTTTTTCCAAGTGCTTCACAATTTCTGCCGAGTGATCAGCTTTAGAATCGAGTTCCTCCACATTGGCAAGAACGATGGCATACATGAAAAAGAAGCGCGATTGATCAGAAGGTCAAAATGACCATTTAGAAAAATTCGACATGAAATAAAGACCGGATGAGGTAAAAAATAAAATAGAACCATTTGTGTGCTCCGGCGCTGGGGGTGTCGCCTTCAAGGGTCAGAGCCTTCTTTGCGCAGTCTTTTGCCTGAAACAAGCAAGGAAATCTCACCATACACTTGTTTCACATCTGTTTATAAGAAAGCTGATACATTTGGTATTGACACGAACAGAACAATCTGCATTAAATCCATGTACATATACATATACATATATATAATAATTTATATATCCTACTTTATATAATTCGCTAAATGTGTCTGTTGGTGTGTCGGTGTGTTTGTGTGTTTGTGTGTGTGTGTCGGTGTGTGTATCTGACCGGAAATTCATAACTCCTGTCCCCGTGGACCTAGAGCGTTCAAATTTCGTAGGAGTGAGGAGGGCAAGATGGGAACACCTATGGTTGGTGGCAGGACCGGACCTCGTTCACAGGGGACGGGGCGTCCGCGTTAGAAATTTTGGGCGGCAAATTCATAACTCCTGGCCCCGTGGACCTAGAGCATTCCATTTTGGTAGGATTACACTTTTCTTCTAACAGCAGAACCTCAGCGTTTTAGCAAGTGATGTAGGATATAACGGGATCGTAGGTACTCGGTGACAAGAACTGAACATAACTGATAAGAGAAGATAAAGAGACCTAAGCGAGGCCACATACCGATCAAAATCCTAAAGTCTTCGGTATCTACGGTGTAGCTTTGACCATTCAGTATCCTTCATTTTATAAGATGGGATGGTAGAGTAGGGCGACAAAAGTGGGAGGTAAGTGCAGCGATAGGGACCCATTAGGGCAATACGATAAGTAAATTAAAATATTGTTTATTTCTTACTATTAGATTACGACGCTACCCAGCAAGGTTTGTGATTCAATGAAGGGTTCTTTTCGTTCGATGTCGTTTACGACAAAACTCAACCGACCACCAATAATCTGGAATTCTCAACGATGATATCCCCTTAAAGAAAAGGGTTCATTGATAAAGAACATCTGATAACGGTGCTATCATCACTCAGCACATCTTATCATCATCATCCTTTGACATCATATCGTATCATCTTTGATTGTCTGACAGTTGGATTTTTGATGGGTATTTATTTCTAAGAAAAAGAGCAAAAGTTCGAGACTTCCAATCGAAGGCTTAAGCACCGACTTTAACTGAATACCATTTGCTTTGCCCCATTAGTCCTGTGTCAAATTTCGTGTGCAGGAAACTGTCATTTGTTTTAAAAAGGAGTGGGGAGTTAGACTTACTACAACTTTAGCAAAGGAGGGGACTGCCGATTTCTGTTGTGTCAAAGACGGTTTTCGAGCTCTGTTCCAGTTTCATACTCTCACTCAGCTGAACAGCGGGAAAAACTCAAAAACTATAAACTTTGAAAAAAGGGAAAAAATTCTTAAGTTCAACATTTCTCGGGATAGGGAGTTTGACACAAGAAGGAGGAGAGCCTGGCGTTAGCCGGGCGATCCGACTGGTATTTATATATTTATATATCTATTCGATTTCAATATGTGTAGCAGTGGTGTAGTGTGAATATTTACCACTATTAACCTGCCTTCTGATCATGTTCCAAATATCCCAAAGAGCTTGAAATCAAAACCAACCGGGAACAGGAACAATGGTGCTTCTGGTAACTCTTTCCTTTTTGACATGTCCAAAGTGTACGAGCGCTAATGTCGAACACAGAGAAGGAGAAATACGCAAATAAGGTGCGAATAAGTGCAGACGTCACAAACTTGCTTTCAGCACAGTCTACAACCGCCTTCCCCTTAATGGTGTGGACACTGCTGCTTCGCAGTCAAATAGTGTTGGATAGTGTGAAATATGCTCCAGACACACATATCGAAATTTCATGCGATTTGCTCCACTGGGAAAAAAGTTACGGCAAGTTAAAGTTGGAAGAATACTTTTGAGCGCTACTGTATGTATAAGTTCGGGTAAACCACGTACATTGGAAATAACCGCTCGGGAGAGGCTGCCTAAAACTTAAGCCAAAACAAGTTGCCCAAAAGCAGAAAGGATAAGGTGGCATGCTATACTTTTATGCATAAAGGCTAGCATTTGTAGCGAATATAGAAGAGCTGATGATGCAAGTCGTATAAATCAAGTTCGACGTCATCGGACTGACCGGAACCGAGAAGGCACCATCCGTTGCACGCCATTTTCGAAAATAGAAAACTTTTTCTCGTAAAATGCGAGAGCAGAGACACTGGCGGTAGAAACTTCCTTGCCAACACGCACTTGGTCATGGTCTGTTTCTCAATGCGTGAAGAGCGAGCTACGCATTTCGAGAAACAAGGTCTCAAGACTATTATCATTCTCGAGACCATTCACTTTCCTTGCAATTCTATGGGCAGACTAGGATTAGCCCAGCTGACAGAGGGTCTCCTCCTTTTAGTGTTGAATGTGGTATGCCTCCTGCATCGCTTACAAGTTTTGAATGGCGCGGTTCAAGATAACAGTAGTTATGAATTCTCTCCCAAACACCCATATACACACAATCGATACATCTCGTGAGCATTCCGCCGGCCTGAGTGGAGCCTGCTCAAATCACCCCTTCTCTCCTAACTTGGCGGTGTTTCTTAATCAGAATGAGCTCACTTCGAGCAGACTCAGCTCTTTCCTCCCCACTTTCCTTCTCACTGAGGACGTAGTGCGTTTCAGTCACTTTTACAACACCTACCGATTGTGGAACTCTCAAACGTCTCGCTACTACCGATTGTGTAACCCTCAAATTTGAACGTTTCAGCTGTAAGGGGACAAAATCAACGCACGCCCCGCCCCTGATGGCGGAGTAGTTTCCGTGGTGGTCATCCTGATGCTCATACTTCTAACGAATTCGAACGCACCAGATCTAAAGGAAGAAGTTTTGCACATGCCCAGCCCCTTAAGGACGAGTCCTCTCTTACCAACAGCCGTCAGTCATCTCATCTTGTTCCCTGTAAATCCCTTTGAATTCCAGTGCACCAGGCCTGAGAAATAATTCTGGCGCTATCGTCGTTTCATTATTGAAGATTGCCTTTGTTGTGGAAACGTTCTTGTCCGAGAAAGTTGTTACGACAAAGGCAATCCTCAACAAATGAGAAAACGATGGAAGGATACGCGTCTCCCACAAGAGTAGGCAACCTTCTGCATCTTTTGAAACTACCCTCTGTGAGATTGTGAATGAAGTGGCATTTCTGCATACGACTGGAATGGCAATGAGTCTTCTGTTTGGCAATCCGGCCCATCGACAACCTCGATAAGTACTGCTCCGTTGCCTTTTTTTGAGGGGTTAGCCAAGACAACGATTGACTCACAACGTACTATTGTATTTAACAAACCATCTTTGAAAACCCGAACATTTCCACCCTTCCTGACTTTGGATTTAATATATCCTGCTTCTCTGCCAACCTTGAGAGACTTTCGAAACGCGTACTTCGAAATAACATCAGTTAACAAAACATCGACCAAAATAGGGTATAACTAGTAGAAAGGATTCCAGTTTACGGGTTCATGGCTTATATTCGCCGAACAGCTCATCACGTTGTACGCGTGAGCGCTGACAAGCTACTCTGACTCTTAAGAAGGGTCAGAGTAAGTGGGGCTTTGGTAGTAAAAATAATAGCACGGTGTTTGGACAGCACAAGTACGTGTTCGAGCCCAATCTGAGGCCGACGTTTTGACCATAACTCGACAACCTCGTGAGGCTCTTAGAACGCGCACTGCGGCTGAATGAGAGTACTCGCGATTGTTATCAAGAGACCGAACGGCATAAAGTTGAAAAAACATCAGGTCAAAACTTTTCTGTATAATTCCTTACTAAAAGCCTTACGAAGTCTGTATGGTCTTTATTTGAATTACAAGAAATTATACAATGCCGTTTCGCTTAAGGCAAGTGATTGCGAGTAGTATCAAATGAATCTACACAATCTGCAAGATACTGGTAATCTCGTTCCAGTAACCATGCACATTGCAAGAAAAATTTTCGCTCTAATAAATTCGAAACACTCTGTAGAATTGAAGGACTGAAACGTCTCAGGCTGAAACCGCAATTATTCAAAAACAAATGATTAGCACAATCCTTGTGACTATAAGTAAATTGCCGCCGAACTTTTCCAGGACCAGGTTGCATTTGCGTCAGGAACTGGTTGAGTTATGCTTGACGATAATAGTATGGGATGGTTGGGGACAGAGAGGTTGCTAAGTCATTGGAATGGGCGGATTAACAAATCACAGGCTAAATTCTTCGTCCCTCTTTAAAACGAGTCAGCTGATTGACGCGACCTGGGGCTTTACTAGTAATAGCCAGCAGCTCAAAAAAGGCGAATTTTCGGAGATATAGTTTCACAGTTTCTGTTTGAGAGCGAGGAGGAGCTTCTCCGAGCATATGTATAGCACATTAGACCTTGCTCGCTACTGTGATTTCGGCATTATTTACTGCCTCACTTTGTCTAGGATGGACTCGATTTCTATCGAATTTTTTGCAAGAAGATGAAACCGACTAGAAACTTGCCTGGAGGGGTAATTTGACCCGTAGAACAGAAATATCGCATCCCCTCGCCATAAAAATGCATAGCGCTCGCGCCACAGGCCCCGGCGCCAAATGGAGCTGGGACACTAATCTTGCTGAAAAGTTAGCGTAGCGGGGCGCCGGGCATTTTCATGATGAATGGATGCGATATTCGTGTTCTACGGGTCAAACTACCCCTTCAGGCAAATTTCTAGTCGGTTTCGTCTTCTTGAAGAAAATTCGATAGGAATCCAGCCTGTTCTCGACGAAGTGGGCACTAAAGGGTAAACGGTGAGTGATTTCTAAACATAAGACTGTTTGCTGAATGGTGGGATTACAAAGGTGAGATGTAGTTTGAAATGATTCCAAGGAACTAGAATCTTGGGTATCTAGCTACTAGAACTTCATGGAGCAGTTGAAAAATCCCTCCAAAATTAGCGAGTTGTAAAGTAGTAATGCTGTTCTGTGACGAAGTCGCATCGTACTAATTTTTTGGAGACTCACAACCAGCAAAAATTATCGAAGCTTGGCTGGAAATAAATGCTGCATCCCACGTATAGCACTGATTTGTATAAGGCCTATTTCAATCGTTGCAGAACACTTCAACGAGAAAATCTTTACCAAAGATGAAGATATCAAATCGTGGGTGATCTAATTTTTCCCCCAAAAATTCAGAAATTCTGCCATACACGAGCTTTACCCAAATAAGGCAAAGCAAGACCACAAGAGATAAATGAACAAAACTGTGTATATATCATTATTTTCGTTTAATAGGAGAGAAAAATTGTACTGTGAAATGCTCAAAAATCATAATTGCTTCCCGAAAGGACCTTATAGTAAGAGTTCCGTCATGGAAAACGTTGATGAAGATTGCAACATATTTATCGAAGATCATCAAAAAATGCTAAGAAAGCAGAGCGACTAAAAGGGACCCTCTCTTATCTTACTTGCTTATCCGTTACTACACGAAGGAACCTTAACCCGGCTATTCAACGGCACCTTCGGAATGCAAAGTGCCCATACTAGCAAATAGCAAGAGGTTGCTGTATTATAAGAAAGGACATCCAGACGATAATGTCAAGTGTCTTGTCAATGATATACAAAATCTTCTCATAAGTTATCCGCAACAAGATTGGGAGAGCCCTGGATTAGGGGCAGCAACCAGGGTTCCGGAGGTTCAGTAAAATCGATTACACCAACAAATTCACAAGTTTCATTGAGGCATCGTGAAAGTATATGACCCAGTTGTATTTTATATTCATCTATTTCAAAGAAGTCCTTGAAACAATCGAGACACAGTAAAGAAAAGTGGTAACTGAAACCTTGAGCAACCAGGGTGTTCCTAATCAAAGAAAAAAGATTCTTTGTGAGCTCTACTACAAAAACACGAGCAGAATTTCGGCACTTTACAGGGAAGTCATTGTCAACGTGAAGAAAGGACTCATATGGCATCATATGGCATTGGAGGAAGGTCGATGGCAGCTACTTACAGTACCGTTCAAAAGGAAATCACCTTGAACCCATTCTGCCATAACTCATCTCAAACCCAGTCTTTTTACCTGATTTTTTGATAGCACACTTTTCAAGCATTACCGACTCTCCTGCGATGCAGAATTGGCGATAGCTCACTTCCAGGCAAGCAGGTGGATTTTTTTCAAAAAATTGCAAAAGGGGCATGCACTCTAGATAGGTTTCATTGTGCTTTTCGAGTCTAGAAATATTAGTGATTTTTCTACCCTGTTAGCTGATCGCTCTCAGTGAAGAGATAAAACTCTGGCTCTCGCTTTCTGACCGTAGAGCGGCTCCCCACCATTGCCAAGAAAGCAGCAAGCAGGAATTGTCCCATGCCCAACATCGAAGGCTGTCTGCTGTACCAGTATCTACGATTACGAAGGCTATCAGAGGTATGGGCATCATACGAGGGCTATCATAAACCCAATCAAGCGAGACAGCTCGGAAAAGTTATGGATTGCCACTCCTGAGGACGGTAGGAAGATCATTTATGCGTCGACTCAAGATGTCAGACGAGCATCTTTCGATATAATGGCCGGAATATCGACAACGGCGACGTCCCTAACGACTAGAGGTACCATCAACAGACGCCTGCGGGTCGCTGGAATATATGGAGGAAGCTTTTCAAAAAGTATCTGGATCTCTGAAAAAACAGACGAGCTCGACTTGAATGGGCGTGTGAGCACCTTCACTGGACCTTCAACCAATGACGCGAAGACATCTAGAGCGACTACTCAAGATTGTTTGGCTTGGTACACTTGGATTCCGTTATTAAACGACCTTTCAAAACACAAGTTCCGACCCCAAGTACCATTTGACAACTCTCAGGCACGGTGCGGGCTCAGTATTGGTTTGGGGATGGTTTCCGAGTTTAGGCATGGGGACCATGCACCATATTCTCACCACTACGGCCCAGCAGATGTACGTAAACATTCTGGAAGGATCCATGCTATCTTTCTCTCGTCCTGCGCACGGAAGAAAATTTACTTTCCAGCGAGATAACGACCCTGGACACAGATCTAGAAGGGGCGCGCGAGTGGTTGATTCTTCGCGAAATTCGATGCCTTGGCTCACCCAGCTAGTCCCTTACCTAAACATCAGTGGACCCTTGTGGTAAGAACTTAAGAAAAGGATAGCCGATAAAACAGTCTAAATGCTGCTCAGAAGTTTGTCCTATTTTGAGGAAAAATGGAAGGAAGTCGACGAACGAGCGCCTGATCGACAAGTTGGTCGAATCAATGCCTCACAGATGCCAAGCCGTCATCGATGCTAACGGGTTCGCTACAAAGTGTTAGAACAGTAGTCGATTGGGTTCTAAACTCATGATGACAGCATTCAAGTCAAGTAATTTATTTCAAATTATTGAAACTGATGTTATTTTGACCCCTAAGAAAAAATATGAAAGTGGCTCTTTAAACGAAATAAAAAGTTTTGTGAGTTCTGTGATGGAGACAATTTATATCCTTCAGTCAAAAACATTGATTTCGAAATGAGTTTTGGCAAAAAAATTCGAGGTGCTTTCTTTTTGAACGGTAGTGTACATCATCTCCGCTTTGCATATGACATCTTGCTTATAACATCGAACATCAAGCGAACCGAATTTGGCGATGCTAATAGAAATATCGGTCAACAAATGAACCTAAATCAGATGATGTTCATCAGTAACGGATTCAAACCTTATTCTTCTTTATGCTGGGTAAACGCACATTCCTTGATGCTGTAGCTAGTGCGCCCTAGTCGAAAAGTCAAGACGATAAGCGAATAGCTTGGAAAGGAACAGGAGAAAATGCTCGGGAAGCATTTGAGAATTTGAGGGCCTACTGACGAAGAATAAACATTCGATTCCGCTTTTTCCGACCTGTGTTCCTTCCTGCTTTGAGATATGCCTCAGAGACTTGGACTGTACGCAAGCATTGAGGGCATACGGTCAGCGTCATTCAACGCGCTGTGGAAAGGAAAATTATAGGCACTTCCCGACACACCAAGTGCAGAGGGAAATGCGGAACTCCACGCTCTAACAACAGCATAGATGAACGCTCATACCTATGCCAAGTAATCGAAGATCAGACGGGCCGAACAAGTCGTGCGATTTAGTGATGACCGCTGGACCAGGACAATTACAGAATTAATTCCCAGTTATGTCAAATGACAGCAGATTCTCCGCCAGTGCGATGGTCGGGATTTCGGGTGAGACCTCCAATGGGAATGATATCCTTGTATCCACCGAGCGATTAGGATCCACCAGCTTACACTGGCTCGCGACAGTGACGATTCGAGACATCAATGGCCCCCTCGAGCGGCCAAGAAGACGACAAGTAATACAAATTGTATGATTTTTGCCACCACTTGTGGTCAGTCTATGATACTGAAAAGCGTTGTCTAGTACACTCACGATTCTCGATTCGCATGCATTATCTATCATGCAACTCGTGAGTACTAGGAGGTTTACACCAACTGGAGCAGTTCAGAAAGTCGCGTACCTCATGAACAAGATGTGCCCTTTCAGTGGGGCATTTGGTGAAGTATGACTTTTCGAGAAGGGCCCGAGCCATTCGCCAATGTATTTCGACATTAGAAATGTGAGCATACCTGAAAACAGATCGCATTTGAAGTGTCGGCATGGATTAGATGTTCCGGCGAAATTCTGCGCAATAATAAATACATACATAATATATGTACATGATATCTGCCGCAAAGAATTCATTCACTTCACAAGGCTGCCCCACACTTCTGGCTAAGGAGAATGTCTATATGTGAGTATCGTACATAAGTGTGCGTTTCACTTTTTCATGTAGCAGGTGGCAGGTGTAGAGTGCGGCGGTGGAATGAAAGAAAGGGTGGGAGGAGAGGGGATGGAGAGGAGCGCAGGGAAGGGCCAACCAGAAATCGACATCCTATCTATGTAGAAGCTTCCCAGATCAGGCGAAATAATTTCACAGCCTTGATCTCTCTAGACATGAAGCATTCATGTGTGCTCGGATTCACGCTGTCCGTGTGATACGCTGCATCACGAAGTGTGGTAATGCGCATGACATCGTAAAATAGTCTTTCGTTGCACGAGCGCAAGCCACAACTATCCCAGTTTAACACTGGGAGTGTTCAGTTAATGAAGAATCTCAAATGAGTAACCTACTTTTTAAGAGTTTCATAGGATTCGTTCACAGCAGATGGTGAAGTATTGAAACCGTGGCGACCAAGTTTCTTCAGAGAATCTTCCAACGCATGGACATCCTTCTGGTACCTAAACACTATCAACGATACAATACTCTATGGAAATCGTTCTAACCTATTTTATACTACTGCAGAAAATTTTATTTTTATAGAACTCTTGAGAAAGATTTTCTTATTTTGGAGTTGCTCTTTTGGGAAATTCCATAAAAATGCATGATAAAACTGCTGACTCGATATGTCGCAGAAGAACGCATTGAAACACGAAACCCGATCGTGCCGTAGTCTGTGCTTTTTGTATCCATGGTCGATCTAGCAATCACGCCGACAATGGGATGCAAATGGTTTCCAGTCAACCTATTCACGCAAAAGCGCAAGTGCGTCAACTCGTCGTGAATGGGTTAACGATAAATGCCCGTCAAGCCACGCAGACAGCATGAGACGAAATGGCGCGTACGCGTCAACACTTTGTCATCAATTTTTTTGCGAGAGCGCGACTTTTCCCATTTTGTTCGTGTTCGTTTTCCACCTTAATCATTTTTTACCGGTCGGATCGCTCTGCCACCGCCGGGCTCTCCTCCTTTTCATGTTAAGTTCGCCTGTCCTCCAAGTCCCTCTTACATTTGGATGCTCCGGCACAGAAGAACAGTAATTATGAATTTCTGGCAAAACACACATACTTCGTGCCCCTTGCATGTCATGAGTTGAAACCTACTCAGCTCATGCAGGCTTAAGTAATTTGGTTCATTTCCTCTTCCTTCAACTTCAGTCGCGTCACTTGCCATCAGCATTCCCGTACTGCCATCTGAACCCCTATCAAACTTGACGCACAGTTCCAAACCGCCAATTTTCGGGCACGCGCCACCCCTATGGATGTAGTCTAGTCGTACCACCTAACAGCAGCATTCCTATACTGCCACCTTTGCGCCTATCAAATCTGAACGATTTAGGTCCAACTTAACCATTCTAACGCACGCTCTGACCCTTTAGAGGGAGTCTAATCCTACCACCTACCATTAGTGTTTCTATCCAGCCGCCTGTACTGCTACCGAATTTGAACGCTCTATTCCATGGGAATAGGAGGCATGAGTCGAAGTTACACCGACACACACACAGATACACGCACACCGATACACACAAACACACACCGACCCACTGGTCTATAGTCACTCAGTCCCTTTTACTCTTCAGTAATCGAGCAGTGAGGGACAGTCCCATATTGGGTGGGTCAAATCGAAACTGGTTAAAATCGGTTGCGATCATCACTCGCTGCCTTTACAGCTATCTTCTCCACATCTCCTCGACTTCCTTGGAGTTGAGATACTGTACCAGCAAAGGGAACAAATAGACCACAGATCGGTCAGTTACACAACAGATACGTATAGCAAATCGGTATTTCGGCCAACATCACTACATCGTAAATCCTGCCACACGTAAATCCCCTATGTCTGAAGGGAGCGAAGCTGTAATTTAATGGTGGATAATCCGGAAAACTTCTGAATAGAGTCGCTGGGTTCGGATTTCACGATTGCCAGTAGTCCAATCCTGCCGCATGTACCCCTTTTAATTTGAATGCTCTCAGTTTAAAGAGTAATTTTTTCGCAAACCCCACCTCCAAGGGATGGTGTCCGTCCCTGTCGCCTACCATCAGATTCTATCGCACCGCTTGCACCCCTTCTAAATTTTGACGCTCTGATCTGAAGTAGCAACTTCGTGCATGTCCCACCGCGAATGGGGGGACTCTTGCCCTGCAACCTACTCTCAAGGTACTTATCCTGCCGCCTGTACTTCTATCAAATTTGAACGCACAGAAACACTAACAGTGTACTACAGTCGAAACCCCATTTATCGCACGTCTATTCCTCCGTCGGTGGAGCCTCGCTCAGATCATGTGTTTCCAAGTAGCGACACTTATTCCCCACTTGTTTCAGTCTGTCTAGTCCGTCCTACTTTTGGTTCCGGATTGTACATATTATATAAGGCGGCGATAAACAGATCATTAAAACTCTAACCACTTTTCCGTGCCTTAGAACAATGAACAACAATTGCCGACCTTAACCCCGCCAACCGTGGTGCGAACCCCGCCTACTTGAGATTTCGCCACTTTTCTTCAGCAGCATCTGACAACTTTTCCAGCGTTTCAGAACAATTCTGAGCAATCGTTTGTTTTCGACTTTAGTCCTGAAAACCGCGTTGCAAACCCTTCCGCTTCCATAGATTCGAACAAATCTTTCTATAGCCTCTAACCACTTCTTTTCTCGAGTTATAAACGTTTTTGAACGGTGTTATGAATTTCTGTTGTTAGGTCGTCCACCCCAGTGCAAACCTCTCTCATTTTCAGGACTCGACCGAATTCTTTAAATAACCTCTTGTTACTTTTTTACGCCCTCCAAAACCTTTCTGAACAGAGCTATGAATTTTAGATCTCAGCATCGGAGAACGTCCGTTGCGCGTGTCCGTCGAAAGCAGGTCACCCCGCCCACTTCGCACGCGGCGCATCACACTGAGGTGAACTGACTGCCGCGGACCAAACGCAAAGCGTATGCCCCAGTGACAATCGCAACGTCTGTCAAATATCGCGGGCCGACTCGCCGCGTGCGACGGCTGTGGCGTGACCTAGTTTCGACGGACACGCGCAACGAAGCGCACCCCTCAGCATCTCCCCCCTCGGCAGTGCAAACCCAGTTTGGGAAATTGGCCACATTCCTTCTATTGGTCAACCTCTAGTCACTTTTTTCCTGCGCTGAGAAACCGTTTCTGAACAGAGACATGAACTTTTGGCCTTAGCCCGCCCACCTCAGGACAAACTGCCCACATTCCATACATTTGACCAGATTTCTTCGATAGCTTCTGACCTAGAGTGCACGCATCATCATAGGCGGAGCTTGACTATGGTTACGCATGCCTAGCACGTATTAGGCCTAGGTCACTATTTGTTCCTGGCCTCCATGCCTTTCTTGAATCCTGCTATGAATGCATATGAAAAGTACCGTCGATTTTGAGGTTTTCCACACACAGCTTGTTCCTTCGTCTGGTTTGTAGACCAAATCCTTACCTTTGTTCATTTATTCCCGGTGCCTGGACTTTTTCGAAGCTAAAATAGGATGTATGACTGTTGGCCCGCCTATTTCGGCACTTGCCCTGCCCCGTGGGCGGAGCTTCGCAGAGCTCGTATGTGCTCTTTTGGCCTTGTCTCAGGCTCCACCCATCCCGAACTTGTCCGGACCTCTGAAGGCGTTTCCCAGATGAAACCGGATATAGCGACACGAACACTAATTTCATTCTGCAATGTTCTCATATTGCAAACGCCCCCTATGGATGGCATCCAGCCCTAGCAATTCCGGTCAAACGCTCATCTCTCTCATCAAACCTCTAAACTAACCTGCTCCCATCACAAGAAGTTCAGCATTTCGCAAAACCACACCAGGAAAATAAAGGATCTAAGCAAAGAAAAGGCAGAAAGAACGGAGATAATCGGAACTGGAGATTTGCACACATCAATTGACTGACCAGTCGGGCTTTCTGGAGAGCTGCTTATCTGTGAGCGCGACACCGGCTGCGCATACTTGCACTCCTGCAGCACTTGCAACGATGCGACCGATCACACTTCGGAACATTCTACTTCTTGAAAATGGAGATTATTGGAGAACGCAGATATTAGAGTAGTGGCACTTATAAGTTTAGTTACTCGCTAAAACGATTTAAAAGCTGCAGAAGACAGTAAGGAAAGCGAAGAAACCTGCAAAAACTACTGCAAATACCAGTTCAGAGAAAAAATAACTGACCATGAACGATTTTCAATGAATCTTGGCATCGTGTGAGTCTCGGTATGAAGGTGTGGTATAGCCTCGGCCAAGATGGTACAGTTCTTTATGCAGTCAACGTTTCGGCATTATCGCCTTCGTCAGGACCAGGAAGCCAAAAAGTGTTTGAGATTCATCCAATTCAGGCACCATTTCAGACTTCAGCTAGCTCAAGTATAACCTACAGATATCTACTTTTTGGCTTCCAGGTCCTGACCAAGGCGAAACGCCGAAACGTTGACTGAATAAAGAGCTGTACCATATTAGCCGAGGCTATACCCCACCTTCATACCGAGAGAAAAATAATAGCTAAAAGTAAGACAAATTGTGCGTACAGCAAATTATATCCAAGGGAGACGATATCATTCAAATCTTAACTGAAGGATATGAGGATTTATGACCAGACCCTTCTTCAACAAGCAAATCACTGTGTAGCATTACTGACGATTACCAAGCTAACTGCAATACTAGATGAAAAACCGGCTCATGAGCCTCATGAGCTTTATATTGGACTTCGTGTAACAGGCCCCAAGTTCAGGGAACGAAGCTCCAAGATCGTGTGAGTTGCGACTACGACACAAAGCTTTGACATCCTGACGATAGTCTGCATATCGCAGGCAATGGGGAAGCTTACCGGCTTCCTTTAAGATCTCTTCAACCACGAACGCTCAGTTAGCTATTGAGCCGTTCAGAAAGTAACTGCCGAAAATTCAGCGATAGCCAAGATTTTTTGTGGGGTGTTCAAAGAATTTCGTCGAATTGTTACATTAGGATACTAAACACTTACATGAGCGTAACATATCTGGTTACTTTTTCTTGCTCGAAGGCAAAGTTCACAATAAAATGGATTTTGAGGTATTCTGTTAGAATGAATCTGTGTCCCCCAATAACAGTTAGTGGCCCATTGGCTTTGGAGTCCGAAATCCAAGGCGTCGGACCATAACAGCACTCCCTCCACACCACACAGACTGTTTCTTACTTTATACTCACAACGCGAAAACAGTCTTTTCCGATGCCGCTCTCCATGAGCTCCTCGATGCGCTAATCACATTAAGTATCATGTGATTGCGCTGCAAGAAATCAAGAGCAGGAGGACTGACGTACGACGAATGGATGATGGAACCCTCATCATTCGTGATAAAGAGCTTCCATCGCGAAACGTCTGTCCGCGCCTTGACTCTGCCGTGGAAACTCTTTCTTCCAGAAGAAGGAACACCTCCGCTGGACATTAGAGTCTCCAAACGGTACAACTCTTGCTGAACTGGACCACATATTAACAAAAAGAAAGTGGTGCTCACTGATGATGGTGTAGTACCATCTTTCTGCAGTGATTCTGATCGTCGACTCTTTCGCGCTAAGATCGGATTCAGTCGCAAGCTGGAAAAGATCTCCCAACATCGCGCAAAGAGCTCGAAGCATGTTGTATACGTAGGAGATGTTCTGAATTACACCTTGTGCCGATACGAATGGTAGGTCTTGGATGACCCGACTGAGGACTACGATGCGCTGGTTGGGTCTACTCACTTGTGCTGAACAAGCCAAGCTCCCTCGGGTGGATATCTCCGCTCGCGTTTCAGATGCGACGAAGGATCTTCTCAAGACGAGAAGAAAATTGAGGCTTGACCAGAACGCCACACATCTTGAGAGGTTGCAGGCGGCAGGCAGTGCGGCGAGACCTTCAGCTATACAGTGAGAGGAGACTACTGTACAGAACAAGCATGAGAAAATGCCATTGAGGTCTCCAAGAACACAGTATGCAACTTTCTTGTTCGAAGAAGGAGGACGGAACATTTACAACATCGAGATGAGTTGGAGGAGTTACACGGAGGTTTTACACCACGGCACACGTGCGAAAACCAAAAATCTCCACTGGCGGAACAGCGCCTCGGACAGTTTCCTCGGAGGTGAGTTGCGATTTTGAGCATGAAAAGGGGCACAACTCCAGGCCCTTACAATATCTCAGCCGACCTACTCCATGCAAGTAACCATGAACTTCATGCGCTTCTCGCGACACACATGACGTCCTACCTCCAGAAGGAGAAGATCCTCAACCAGTGGAGGAACTCGCGGATGGTCGTCCTTTACAAGAAGGGAGACAGGAATGATCTTCGCAACTACTGCCCAATAAGCTTGTTAAGCGTGTTTCACAGGCTGTTCACGCGGATCATCCTAACCCGCATATCGCGGAAGTTGGATGAAGCTCAACCTGGAAAGCAGGCCGGATTCCGAAAGGGATCCAGCTGCTTAGCCCACATCCAAACGTCCAAGCGGTCGCAATGGTCATCGAAGTGTGCCGAGGATTCCGGATACCTCCTGTCTTTACTTTTGTTGACTATGAAAGGCTTTCGACAGCGTCAAAACATGCGGTCGTGTCAGCACTGTTCGATCAAGGAGTGGACCCTCCCTACATAAGAACACTAGCTGACTGCAGTAGGCAATGCAGCGCGACGGTGAGGCTGTTTCAACGACCTCCACCCATTTCCACAGGGAAGGATGGGATACAAGGCGACACTACTTCGCCGAAGCCGTTCACAGCCGCGCTGCTGTGTTTTATGAAGTCGCTAGACTGGGATGAAAAGGGCATTCATGTGGATGGACGGTTCCCGCTCAAATCCCGCTTTGCGGGTGACATCGTTCTCTTTTCAAGCAACTTTGCGGAAACTGAGACTATGCATGCTGAGCTTAATAAAGCTGGAAAGAAGGTAAGGCTGTGGATCAACCGAACAAAGACACAGTTCATGAAGAATGCTTGGGCCGACGAAGGTCAAATTAACCCATTGACGACACCTTGACGCGCATGCGCGTCAAGCCTTGCAGACCGCTAGGGACCGAGTGACGCGCATGTGCGTCAAGGCTCTGTCATCACTTCTTTTTTGCGAGATCGCAACTTTTTGGAACTTTTCTGTGTTTATTCAATAGGCGAAACATTAAGACTCTACAAACAACGTGGTCCATGATCGGAGCAAATATGGCTTATTCCAGCAAAGATTTTCCAAACCTTGTAAAAGTCTCACCTAAAACTGAACTTTGACTTCTTTTTCAGAACAAACACATAAATAAATCATAGAATTAATCATTAGTAATTAGTAACAAGGCACAATAACTTCAAGAGATTACGTTTCCACGCGACAAGACTTGTGTTATTTATTGAAACAATCAATGCAAAATAATTTCCTGAACGTACTGCAACGTGTATTGACCCTTTTAGTTTTTTTTTCGATGCCCTTGCAGATACTTGCTCTTTGGACATTGCTGCGTAACACTCTACACATCTCAACCTGTTGATTCCTTTTAGACCTCTAGGTACCTCCTCCAATACATGTCGCATGAGTGACAATGATAACTCGAAGTGTAGCCATAATCAACATTTAGCAGAGATTGGACCACTTCTAGTATGAAGTCATTAAGCCTGACATTCTGCATCACATCTTTGTACAGCTCCCAAGCGTCTACAACTCAAGCCATTTTATAGGTGTTGCTTTTGAGATACTCCTTGTCGTTGACGTTATAAGATCTTGCAATCAGCCAGGTGACTGTGGCGCACGACTTGTCTGCACTTGTCTTAGCGAGGCAATGGAAATTCACATATTCCGGATTTTCCTAATAGCAAGCAAAACTTCTTAATTCTAAAATTCTACCCCCAGTTCTCCCTTCCCCACAGCCTTCTGGGCCTCTAGATAGCCATTTCCCGTCTTTCCTTTACCAGCGCATCACAGCTGTTTCTAGTATATCGCTAAGAGGGAGCAGACAAGCAGGGCACCACCCTGTAGACTACTCTTTTCATTCACCAACACAATACACTTTTGATGTTGCCTCTCAGCTTTTGCTTCCAAAAAGTGCACCTCGTGGGACATCTTGACGCGCATGCGCGTCAAGCTGGCTGCGCCCGCGAAAACGCCCATGTCCCGCGCGGCCGAAAAATCCAAAACGCGCGCTGTCGTCAATGGATTAAGATCGATGATACGCCCATCAAGGAGACCTCGTCATACGTTTATCTCGGGCGTTCCATGAATATGGATAACGAGTGAGGGAAGAACTGGTGAGACGGCAGAAAGCAGCGTGGGCAGCCTTCGGACCTCTGAAAGAGGTCACCAACCATCTGGCTGACCCGGAACGTCGCGCTAATCTGTTCAATTCCACAGTTCTTCCTGCGCTCTATTACCGGTCGGAGACCTGGGTGACTAGTGCATCCACCTCAAAGGCTTTGAGCACAAGCCACAGAGCGCTCTAGTGACGTCTTTTGAGGTTCAACCGGCTCACTCGATATCAAGCTGGACCCGCGTGCACAGAATGTCTCGACTCCTCGATCCGGTGGAAGAAATGAAGAACGCAAAACCTCGATGAGCCGGTCATATAATGAGATGAAGACAGATGTACAAAAAGAACAGTAGAGTTGGCCCCCGTAGGATCTTCACGATCTAAGGGTAGGCCTGCTGCGAAATGAGGGGATGTGCTTGTCGATCACGTGAAACAGGTGCGAAAGCAGCTGAACCACTCCTCACATCGCTGTCCTCCTCGAATTCTGAGTCTACCGTGGATGGCGATCGCGAAAGACAGAAGCAAATGGTTTGTTGCTGGTGCTCGCATATGAGTGAAGACAAGCCGGATAAGTATAATATTGCCGTTGGACCAGGACGCTACTGACTAAATCACTCGGGCGACAGACGAACGCCATGACGGCCGCCAGCGCGATGGTCAGACTTCCTCTCGAAAGCACTGAACGTAAGCAAGTGCATTATGTCCCTCGGGGGTGGGAGGACGATCCACTAGACTACTCTGGCTTGCGACAAGAGCGAAAGGAGACATTATTGGAGCCGCTCGAAGAAATCCATGATCAAAGGGACGACAGGTTATACAAGTGATACCCTAAAATTCCATAGATAAGAGCGGTTGAAACTATCGGTGAAAAAAATGAATTGGAATGACATTGAAATTGAACGCAGTCACCCTCTAACTTGATGGATGGATAAATTAAACTTCGAAGAAGNCTTCTTCGAAGTTTAATTTATCCATCCATCAAGTTAGAGGGTGACTGCATTCAATTTCAATTTCATTCCAATTCATTTTTCACCGGTAGTTTCAACTGCTCTTATCTATGGAATTTTAGGGTAGTTCAATCGAAGTGAAAGGACCTATCGGCATTCGCGCATAGGGACAAGGATCTGGATTGTGTCAAATTGCCGAAAAAGTGCAAACATGGTTGTAGCTCTACAGTTGAGGCTATAGAGAGCTAACTTGGCCTATTGCGTGCAGGAAGTCTAAAACTGATCATTGTTTAGGTGATGTTCTTCGAGCAAACTTTGGACTACGCCTTAGTGTACTCCTAGAACTTTGATTTCAATGTAGGAAAAGGTCATCAGCCATACCATTACGACCAATTGATCACCGCTTTCTGGACATGCTCGAAAAGCGGTCGCAATTCAGCGAGCTTTCGCTGAAACTTATTTATACTATGTTCTGCTTGACTGCTAATGGATTATCAGTGGAGGCAGCTCACAGAAACAAAGATAGAGGACAGAGAAGCACAAGTTTCTTTGCAGTGATGTGATGAGTCTCTCACCACGGGCCCTTCACAATATTGACTTTTACTTCTCAACAATCTATAAGACTAAGTGAAGTTATGGGATGAGATAATGGCAAATTCTGGAAACATGTTCTGGTAATAACATCATGGATGCGTCCTCTTTTGGTATGCTAAAGAGCAGCTCTGTTGAGACAGATAAGACAGCTAAATGTATACGGTAGAACACTGTTGTTATTTTCGTAGAAATGAAGATAAAGAGGAAATCATCGACGAGGGGGAATCTACTTTGGAACGATGAGAACATGGTACTGAGATTACAATGCCTTTAGGTGCACCTACGAACTGCACGATACTTTACTGCACTCAAGAGAAGTGAGACGTCCTGAGGAAAGTTTTAAATTATGAACTTGGAAGCTACCAAATACCCAAAACAGTATTCGCTTTGAGGCAGTAGAGTGATTGTGGAAGAATGGGAGTTGTTGATCGATAGAGACGAACCGCAATGAGACCGCCGTTCGTTTTCGCCCCCTCTCGTGTGTGTTTTCCCGTTCCACGACTTTTACACAATAATGTACGACCATAAGGCTTGGATTGTCTTTGAAATCCCGTGAAAAGTAATTGGTGGTAACAGAAGCAAAGTAGAATGTGATGGATGGTTGGATGCTTGCAATGCGATCCCTTCAGCCAAGTTTATAATAAGTAGAGAAGCCAGCTTTCTTGGGTCATAGAAATGAGTCGATGTTTCAGACATTCGAAAAGAGTGGATGAGCTTCCTTATGGGTTTGAAAGTTGATACAGGAATTTCTTCATCTTACTAGTAGTTAGATCAGTGCAAAAGGGATGAATCAGGTAATGCTTACATCCGATCCGTTCCCTGTCTCAACGCTGGACATCGCTATACTTAATTTGTAGACTGTCGCCTAAACCTACACCCTGAAGAAATGCCGGCCGAGTTTTTTTGGCAAGTTGCCCACTGTTTGAAACTAGTTCGTTGCGGGACCCATGCCATCGTGGCTTTACTGTAGCTACACTTTGATGTTCCGTTTGAATTGCTATTGGAAGAAGTTGTGGTAAGAGTGTCCGCACACATGAAAAATCCGAATGTAAAGGTAAAGGTGGCATAATACGTTGTTTGAAAGAGGTTATATGACATATTGGGAGGAAATTCTTGAAAACAAGAGGCGAACCATGGGAAGAGGAAAGCTTTACGAAGTCTTTCCCGATGGATGTAGAAACGGGGATCCGGAACGGCAAGTATTTCCATTTCAGTTCAAATTTCACTCAGCTGCTCATTTCTTTGGACAACAGGAATACACTTTCTGTAGGGCGGAACTTTTTTCGTGAACTTTTGTGCCTCCTCCCGATATGTCATATAACCTGTAACCTGAAACGATTTCTGAACGGTTCACTGTGTAGAGAGCCACAATACATTGATTTCGATTACATTACATTACCATTAATAACCCATCCAGTAAGAGTATGCCACCATAAAACGTTTGATTGAAATGGAGTGATGTTTAAAACCAAGACTGCGTCACGGGAAAAGGCTAATCAGTAAAACGAAACTAAAAGACACANGGCACTCTTTTTTTGAAGTTCTTCTCTCAATGCAATTTGATGCCATTTTCTAAAAGCCTGTATAGTTATTAGGCTGAAAAGAGAAGTGGAGCGCAGTAAACCGGGTAGAAACGTGCCAGGTAATGAATATTCATTCATGACAGCAGTGTATTTGAAGGCCAATTTGATCCAGTACAATGTCTTGTGAGGAAAAGCGGTGTGCTCGTGCCGTTCGTCTTTTGTTAGTGACCTAGGACTACATTAACTTCAATTATGCTATGCTGATCCTTAAGCCACGCCATTTGCTTCAAGGTCGCCGTATTATGATAATCTTTGAGAAGGAAGCAGTAAGAATGCAGATCTTGCTTCTCACTACTTCTTCATGTTGTCAGGTGCCAGTGATTCAGAGGAGATTTCTACTCGGTGAGAAAGCTAATATACTTTGGCAAAACGACAGCTTACCTTCCAAACAACGTATATTGTCATCTCTTCCCTTAATTTCGGATCTTTCATGGGAGACACACTTAACATCATCTCCTCCTACAACATTTCATAAGTAGCACCGCACCAAGATGAAACGAAAGCAGAGTCGATAGCGTGGGTCCCGCAGCGAATTGTTTGATTCACAAGCTGTACACTTGACAAACGTCCAGAAACTTGACAAATGTCTCGCGACAACTCGCCCGGCGTTTCTTCAGGGTGTAGGCTTAGGCGACAGTAATTTGTAGAATCGGTCAACATCCATACATAAAGAAGGAGTTAATGCGCAGTTCAAAAAGAATAGGAACTATTACTGAATCGTCTCGCCGTATTTGATCGCTACTGTTCACATGTTCACTCACTCCATAGCTTCGAATTTCTTGCTGTTTTGTGTAGAGCCCGAATGGTCCGAATAAGGTGCTCCAATGAGAAAATAGTGGTCGTTAGTGAAGCGGCTGCAAGGCGGCAGATCGAACGATGGCCCGATTACATTTATTTCTTATTTCTCGTAAGATTACTTGTTCTTGAGGAATATTCTGTTATTGTGAAATGTATACAAAATACAAATACATGACGGGATGAGGGATCGCTTTTCTTTTTTGTTTTTGTATTTGTTTTTCTGCTCTGCTAGCATTTTCCCCTGTATTTGATTCTAAATGTTTTTTTCTGCTCTTCTAGCTTTTTACCCCTGGATTTGAGGTTACGGCTAGATTGGAAGTTGTAAGAGATCGCTATGAAATTTATAGGTTATCAGGCGTCTATTCTATCAACTATGGTATCTCCTGATGAGGGGTTCAGCTCCGACGAAGAAATCGATGCGCCTGCAAAACCTCTTACTAAAAAGGAAAAGCAGGTAGTACTCCGTTAGAAGCATTGTGTTTGTGTGTTTGTCCATTCAAATTTGCATACGCAAGTAATAAGGAACTGGAGCGACGTCGTTTGAAGAACAAGAAGAAGAAGCTGTCAAAACGACGGCGTGGGGCAGCGGAAGATAACGAAGCGGCCAATGATGGTGCTGCTCTCAGTTCGGAAGAGAAGCAGGAACCAGATGCGGAGGCACTAAATGAAGGAGAAGTAAACGGACCTAAGACACTGGTTTGTTTTTTTCTCGTGACTTCAAGCATCAAACGTAGGCCGAGCGCTAGAAGTGGTCATGACGGTTGTTGTACTCATTGTCACATGTTTTGCTCTGTTTAAAATTTGTAGGGATTGAAATAGTTATGTTTTGGAATATTCCGAAGCATTACTGTAATTGATCGGGATTGGAATGTACCATTGCGGTGGCCTTCAGTAATAAATAAGATGTTCTGATGTAGAGGAGGCTTCCCCTCACGCGCGATATCCTAGTCTTTTAAGGCACATCCTGATCCTTGCCCGTGATGATGCAGATGTTCGAGTTCGACAGTGTGGCTGTATTATGTCGAGTTTTTTGAACAATTCGAAAGGGCTGAATTTCCTTGAAATTATGCAATGTTTCAATGCAAAGCGCCCTACTTCATCTGTTTACTCAAGAGATATGCAAGATATCTGAAGTTCGCATACGATTCTTAGTTATTGTAGTGCTCCTAGTGAGACTGTTCTGTTTCACCTTGGCATTCATGTTAGGCAAAACTGTTTTATGAACTTTCACGAATGAAGTCATGATTTTTGTTCGAAGTTTATTTATTAATGTTTTAGGCAGAGACTCTCGAGGTGGAGATAGACTATGTTGGGGAGGCACCAAAGTTGGACGAGAATGATCCCAATTATCAGTACTTCAATGCAATTTTCAATGCTTTCAAGGTAGAGACGTATAATGTTACTTTGATATTCAATTGTTGTGCGACTATTCCTTTAATGCTCAAGAAATTGTATTATTCTATCAAGATTGAACCAAATCCTGATGGTGTCGAGGGTGAAGATGGAGCTGTTTCTTCTGGGAAAGACCACAAAAAAGATGAGGAGAGCAATCGTGCTTCTATATCGGAGAGGATTTTACAAGAAGAAATCAACGTAAGATCATTCTGTAGACTACTTTCGCACCTCACTCTCTTCAAAAATTTGAAATTCCAGGATAGATTGAATGATCCTAATGATCCTGAGAAAATGTCTAGAAGAAAGCTGCGTTTGGCAATGCAGCCTAGCATTGCGAAACTGAAGGAGGTAAGCTCTATTTAATGATACTAATATCTTTTTCTAGTCGAGTATTTATCCCTTTAAATGCCACTGCAGATTTTTTCTACAAGTTAACAAGGGATATCCAGTTTGATATCCATATATGATCATTGGCGAGTAACCCTGCCGTACAATTTTACAGTCTACACGTCGTCCTGATGTCGTTGAATGGGCAGACGTTACTTCAAGAGATCCGTTCATACTTGTGGCGTTGAAGTCTTATCGAAATACCGTACCGGTTCCCCGACATTGGAACGCCAAACGAAAGTAGGTGTGGTTGATAAGGAAGTATCTGAAACTGAATGCCATTTTAATTGTATGGTTACAAATGGTTAACTCAGATACCTTTCTGGAAAACGTGGATTTGAGCGTCCTCCTTTCGAACTTCCTGACTTCATCAAACGTACCGGTATCCAGGATATGCGCGAGGCTTTATGGGAGAAGGTAAACTTCCCTTTTAAAAGTTTTCGCCTTCAAAGCGGGTGCTCGACACCTCGATATGTTGCGTTATACATTGAATTAGCCCACGAATGACGCCAAATAACGTGCTGAACAAAGAGCCATGACATTTTGTTGATATTTATGAGAAAAATGACAACAGTCGAAATTCCAGGAAGAGAATCAGAATCTCAAGTCGAAGATGCGAGAGCGCGCTCGTCCGAAGTTAGGGAAAATTGACATTGATTACCAGAAGTTACATGATGCCTTCTTCAAATGGCAAACAAAACCGCCAATGACTTCAATGGGGGAACTTTATTATGAAGGAAAGGTAATATTATGAATGTTAAATGAATGTGTTGCATTGCATTGAAGTTATTGGCGATTCACAAATGATTATTTACAGGAGGTGGAGACATTGATGAAGGACAAAAAGCCTGGAAATCTTTCTGATGAGCTCAGAATCGCTCTTGGAATGCCAGTCGGACCGGTCCGTGATGTCGTTTTCTGGTGATGTTACTTTCTTCGCCCTATACATACTTGCTATTTATAGAACGCTCACAAATTTCCTCCGCCATGGCTTATTGCGATGCAACGTTATGGTCCACCTCCGAGTTATCCAAACATTCGTATTGCTGGATTGAATGCTCCCATTCCTGAAGGATGTGCATTTGGATATCATGCGGGAGGATGGGGAAAACCGCCAGTCGATGATTACGGCAAGCCATTGTATGGTGATGTCTTCGGACAAGAGGTATTTAAGTTCTTTAAAGAGGTTTTCGCATATACATTCATGCAGTCTCCACTGCTATCGTAGTCGAAGTGATTAATCTCCTAGTAATAACGTGTACCCAGATCCTCGTTATGAATGATTTCACTTACAATTTGCCTGTCACTACTCTTCTACTAGGTACCACTATCTTTCATTGTTCTCGCTATCTTCCACTTCCATGTCCTTATCTTGCTACTCTTACCGTTAGACATTAAAAGGATAAAGGATAAAGTTTTTGGCGTTAATCAATCCCGTCTGAGGGATGCGCCCCCGCACTCGATTTCCATTCAGAATCGTAGTGGCGTAATGAGCGCGTATGTGGCCTATACAATGACTTGCGGTGGCCAGCCGATGTACAAGTCAGTGCTATTATCCTCTCAGACGAGTCTGGTACCAATTCACCGACCCCGGAGGGATGGAAGGCTTGGTTGGCCTAGGCGGGCATCGATCCGGGATTCGAACCCCTGACCGTGCGTGTGATATAGTGCGCCACTTGCCACTACACCACCTCCGCCCTCCGTTAGACATTAAGCGCAGATAAATTTTTGAAGGTCTGGGAGTAAAGTGCAATCATTTGTATTGAAGCACTTTTATTCTTTCTCAAGCCTTATTGTCACTCTTAATATCATAGGCAATAACTTCACCTCATTTTTCAAGTACGGCCTCAAAGGGCTGTTTAAAATGTGCCTAAAATTATTTCTTTTGGAGCCTCCCAGTCATTCGCCTTTTCCTAATTCTTTTGATTACTAGCCCGCAAGTCAAGTAGAGCCCGAAGATGAAACACGCATCGAACGTCGATATTGGGGAGAAATTGGCTCAGACGATGATTCCGACGAAGAAAGTGAGGCCGAAGAAGAAGAAGATGCTGATATAGGTAATGGTTTTTTCTTAGAAACTGTTGCCTTTTTGTCGAATATTTCGTTGTTTAAGATGGTATCGCGACACCCATGACCGAAGGAATGGCAACTCCGAGTGGCATCACGACGGGTGTCACGGGATTGGAAACGCCAGACACTATCGAGTTGCGAAAAGGAAGACGTGTTGATGAGAGGTACATTTTTGACCAAACAGTGTAAGGCAGGAAAAAAGAAAAAATACATTTTAAGTTTGGCTGGAGCAGACACTCCTGCAGCGGCTTATCACATAATTCCTGAAAAGCGGGTTGACCGTGTTGGAGGCCAAATGATGGCGTCAACACATGTCTATGACTTATCGGTACGTCAAATTTAGGTCATATTAATGATTTCTTCAAATACTTGCAGTTTAGAAGAAAGTTGGTGTTTCTGATGGCGGTGTAGAGGTGTCCCTCGACCCTGATGCAATCGATTTAGATCAGGGAAAGCTGCAGGAGAAATATGACGAGCAACTAAGGAAGCAGGTAGCTTTAGATGTTGTTCATTTGTTCATTGACTGCTATTTTGCTAGATGTGGTGGGCCAAATAGCAGGGCAGAAGCTTGGTGTATGGAGTATGCTTACTGTATATCGACTATTTGAACACTAAAACCAGCTAGGCTTTGTCAAAGTTTCGCTTGGCTGGCTTCAAACTAGTTATGCTTCGTTTAAGTATTGCTTCATCCTTCTGCCGCGATGCCAGGGCTATACACTTAATCGAACTCTAGTTCTATGATTTCCCCTTATTTAGACTTCTCCCAAATACATTTCATGGTAATGTCGACCTGACATAACCAGAGTAGTAACTGCCGAGTAACATGATTATAGCGAAGTGTGTGAATTTAAATTTTTTGAAAGCACGGGGTTCAGGATTTTGATACTTTCGTGAATCTATGAGAAGAAGAATTCTCGTTAGGGAAGTTCTAAAAGTACTACAACATTATAATTACAATGTACTTGATTGAATTCGTAACTGTGTTATAGACCAGAGGTGACGACCGCGAAGACTTGTCGGATATGGTTGCGGAACATGCGGCTGGGCAGAATGTGAGTCGTCATTCAAAAATCAGGCTCTTTTGATTATTTGTTTTTCAGAGAAAGAGAAAAGCCCAGGAACAGAAGAAGCAAACGCACCAGAGTAAAAAATATAAGGATTTCAAATTCTAGCCCTTTTATAACATTTATCATTATCTGTTGATTTCCTGTTTATTAAGTGGCATTGTCTTTGTGAAAGAATAAACTGTTCTGCTTCTTGATGTGTGTCTCCTATTGCATTCAGTCATTTTCGAAAAAGTATTTTTGAAAACAATGGGTAAAGAAGAGTTACCGAGGAATCTAATGCATCATTGTAGAGATGTGGCTATGTTGAGGAAATAAAACAATTTGTTTTAGCATCTTGGGCATTTAAAAACGTACTTTTACTTTTTTAAAGGAAACTCGTTCTCCCTTCACGGTACATTCGGAAGCTATGGCAGGAAATGCAGAAGAGGTAAGTTTGCTGAGTGCACCATCTTACTCACGATTCACAGCCGGCGATTGAAGATCGCGATTTATGAATTCAGCCCTAAGTGGACTTGTATACGGTGGATGATTTGCAGATCACTGCCGCTCTTTCTGCGGACAATCCCGAGTCTGCACCACTGGAAGTCGAATCTCTCTGTATGAATTGTGGAAAAAACGTGAGTTCGTCCACACAAGCCTCTCATTACTGTAAGGGTGTCCAAAAAGTTTCAAGATAATTATGCCTCTTAACTGTGAAAGCATGTTGCTCCCGAGCGCGCTAAAGTAGGACTATAGATTCGATAGAAGGGGGAGTCATTGTTGATAGATCGATACTACTCCGATCGCTTTATGACGTCATCGTTGGAAGTAAGTAATCGTCAATCGAACAATGTGCGGTTGACAAAACTGCAGGAGACTTACCATTACGAAAACTGATCGCTTCGACACTCACGATTGGAAGGTGACTGATGGGTAGCAGTGCACCTCATCTCTTGTTACCTACCATAAATGGGTACGATCGCTCCTCTGATCGTGATGAGAAAGTTGCTTCGACTAATCTCGTCGAAGCGGACTACACTGTTCCAAAACACTGACACTGTTCTGGCCTGCCGTCGGAGCAATCCTTCTCAAAGTTTTAGAAAAGCACTCTTCGCAAATGGTCTGTGCCCCCTGACTGAGCAGGAGCGTCCACTGCGAGTGTACTACGCGGAAGCTACGCGACTCCGAGCGAAGTCGGCATCGACCGACTTTATTATAGCTCAGGATGAAAAGTAGATGTCCTTGAGAATCACACAGAAAATCGCAATGTTTCCAGTTCCACACGTAAAGCCACAACACATTACAAAGCGAGGCGCTCACGCCAAAAAGGACATGAGATCATTCTTTCTCTTCTCAACAAGGTATTTTACTACTGGATCCGTCCATACTGGACTGTAAGGAACGCGGGAGTATTCTGTGAACAAATGGGAGAGATGGTGTTTCTAGCCCCCATTTCACGCTGGTTACAAGGAAATCTTTGATTCTGATGGATAATGCTCGACCACATCACATGAAGGCATCGATGGAGCTGGAAAGGCTTGGTATAACCTGATTACCCCTCTCTCCACATGCGTGACCTCAACCCATGTGACTACCATACCTTAAGAAGGTCACGGGCCTGCTCGGAGAGTAAAAAATTCAACATTCGTCAGTAAGTCAAGTAGGTAATAGATTGCGTCGCACCCTTTTCCATTCGTAGGAATGGCATCTGTACCTTGTCCTACTGAGAAAGAGGTATTGTGGCTAGAAAGGGTCAGGAGCTTGATTACTCATCTAACTTATTGCTTTAGTTATTCTGTGCTGAGAAAACCGATTAAATTTTCTTGGAATTTTCCGAACACCCTAACAGTTTACTTCTTATTTGTGCTTCCCATGTCAGAGGTAAGCGATATGTGCTTAGCTGGGATTGTCTGGAGCTGCTGGCTCGAGATCATTTGCTAGTGCTGCTGATAAGTCCCAGCTACTTTATTCTTTGTAACTGTTGTGGAATTTGATTCTGATTCGAGTTTCGTAGTCATCCGTGTACAGGTTTGGGCTTGTTTTCTGGAAATCGCTTTTCTTAAGTAAGTAGAGCTCATGTATGTGCCCACAAAAAGCTGCGATGGAAGGGGAATGAATAGGAAGCGGTGGTGTGATGAATTTAGAAAGTCAGAAGCCTGAATGTTTCCGTTGCCCTTCATATCCTTTCTCTACACGTCTTACTCTTGTAAACTTGATTAGTATATAGTCGTATAGAATAGACAGTGCTTCACTCCAATTGAAAGGGATGTGAACTCAATCCTGATATGTTTCTGCTTGATCATTTTACTATTAATGTTGGTGTTTAGAAATTAAGCGCACTTCGCCATTTGACGAAGACAGTTTGGATATCGATACTGTCTGACCACTTGCTATGCCGTGCGCTTTAGATACCCCAGAGAAAGTGGAAAACGCTGGCTGCACAGAAAGTCACTGCACGTTCACTTGCACAGGGTGTTATAATAGAATTTGGTTTTAACCTTTTTTAATTGCCATCCGCGTTGCTTCATCAGAAACTGGGAAGCGGTTGCCAATTTGCCTAGCATATACGGAGTAATCCTTTGCGCAAAGTCAGGATGTGTTCTTGCTGTACAGTGGAGCATTGGGTTTTCTCGTGCTATCAGAAGCAACCATGCGTTCCTTCTTGAAGCGTAGTGTTTTTCAAGGCTTTTATGAAGAATATTGACGCAATTTATTGTGATAAATCATATGAAATATTTACCAAGCGAATTGCGTAACTTTTGTTAATATTATGAAGAGGTTTTTATGGTTTCTTTATAGGGAGTTACTCGCATTCTGTGTACCTCAATACCATACTACAAAACAGTCATCATCATGTCGTTTGAGTGCCCACATTGCGGTTTTAGGAACAATGAAATTCAAAGTGGTGAAGCTGTGCAGGTAAATTTACTTGGAAGCTTCCTCTTGGATAGCCTATCTGTATCGTTTTGTATTTTGTGTAGAATTTATGAAAACTGTCGAAATTTTACTACCTGTCATCCCTCATTTATCTGTTGCTCAGCATCGAATCGGTTCGTACCGGTTTCGCGTTTGTAATTCCTTTGATTTCTGTTTTGGTAAAATGCGGAAGCGAATTTCTAGATAGCGGTGTTGCGTCATGTTAGGTGGAGAAAGTTATTACAAGACTGGGTGTCTCGTATTAGTTTTCTGCTCACTGATGAGTGTTCATCCTACTTTGACTCGACGATCTTGTCTTATCGTGAGAAACATACTAACCAGACAGGGCTGCATCATAACTTTCTAAAGAATCTGGAACGAAATGGGTTCTCTGAAGCTTCTCATCATCGCTTCTGAGTTCCGTTCACATGCTACAGTGCGTTTCATAATTATAAGGTCACCCCAGATTTTTGCGATTCTGGAGAAAGCAGCCGGAATGGAATCTTTTGGCAAACACTGGTAGATTCCTCGTCACAATGTACCTTTGTACTCAAATTTTGTCGCAATATCCTTCACCTCAAATTTTTTACGAATTTTTAAAGATAGTGTCGGCTTTTGCACCGTTTCATAATTATAAGGTCACCCTGAGAAAGTAAATGATTTATCAATGGTAATGGCATATGTACAACAATGAATAATCTATAGCCCCTCCTTGTTTAGGAGCAACATCAAAGAGCCTGCGTGGCATACTAGAAACTATGTTTCGAAGAGTTCCTCATCGATTGCTCTCTATGCTCCGATAATCGCCCGGTTCAGCTCTTCTGCGTCCTGGAACTGACGGTTATTCGCATAAACCTGTCTGACTATTATGCCCGAGATATGTTCCATCGGATTGAGATCGGGACTGCAGGCTGGCCATGGCAGGATTCTTATTTATTGGCATTGCAGCCACTCATCCGTTGCACGGCTCACATGAATGGAGGCATTGTCTTGTTGAAAGACATAGTTGAGGTGACGGCGATGGCATAGAAAGGGTACTAGATGATGCTCCAAGAAGTTCTGGTAATCCTTGCAATACATACTGCAGCTCACGACAAGTAGATTCAACACGACATCATTGCAGAATGCACCCCACGCCATAGACTTCTTCCACCAAAATTGCGACGGCTGAAGTAGACTGGTTCCCTCCTCAAGTCGCGTCAGTACCGCTTGTTTCCGTCAGTTTGAATTTCTTTTCATCCGAAAAGACGACCTGAATAGGAATTATTCAGCTCTATGATGAGATTCTGATGCAGATCTACCTTTGCCCAATCTCTCCCTAGGTTCATCTTTGCAAATCCGAGTCGAGCCTCTTTGTGACGATCGGTGATCCGTGGCACCTTCTCCATTGCTTGCCTGGTGATGTTCTCGCATCTTCTCACTGCTCTTCAGACTGTAGTTTTCGACACAGAGAGGTTTAATTCCGATCGGATCTGGTTCAAGGAGGATGTACTGTTGGAAACAGTCTTCAGAATTTTCCGCTCGTCACGGGTAGTAATCTTTCATGGGTGTCCACAGTCGGTGTTATATCTAGGGACATCAGGGCTCTCCAGAAATCTTTGAATGGACCAAGGGGATCTCCCTATTTGCCTGGAAATGGCTCGAGTACGGAGCCCACCTTCATGATGAGCCTTCTCATTAGAGGAAAGCAGATGACCACGAGCCATGTTAACGGCCAGGTTTAGAAATGCCTTTGCTACACATGCTTACCTTTATAAGTAACTTCAAACACGAAATTTCCTCTCTTTCGTTAATAATTGTTCACTTCCTCGGGGTGACCTTATAATTATGAAACGCACTGTATCTACGATCCCATATGATGGGTTTTTCGCACGAACCGCCTGCGATCCTCTCAATTTCTCCGATCAAGGCGCGCAAAGATTCACATTTTAACATGAAAGGCTTTCTAAGAAAGGCAAAATTACAAGTTTCTAAGGTTTCTTGTAGGTCTTTATCAGTATTACAGCTTATGCAATCCGGTCTTATCCTGCACTACATCCTAGAATGACAATATCCTATTGTGCAAAACGAGGAAATTAGCTAGTGACAATAATCAGCGCTTATCAATTGTTATTAGTTTTTGTAACCGAACAACCGCGATATCGACTTATCCCATTTTACTCTTAAAGGTGTCAAGCTTTCACTCTTCATCCGTATTTGGCCACTGACTCAGTGGTTGCTTTCATAGTCCAGGTTTGGCCCGCGACCGATTTCAGGCCAAATCGTGCACTATGAAAGCAGCCAATTGTTCTTGTCTCCTGTAGCTCCTTATCAGCCGTTATCCGCTTCTCTCAGTTCTTATCACCAACGGTTCCGTCACAGTCCACATAATTCACCGAAGTGCCAATGCTGCTCTATTCATACGAAGGGCGTCACAGACCCAACGGCTCATGCCTTCATTCTTCTATGGCCGCTTATCACACTTTATCACTCATTATCAGACCCTGTAACCAAGCATCCACGGTCTCATCACATACCACATCACCAACCAAGGTGTCAAGATTTCTTTGTCAGCAGAGAGAGCGTATCGATGCAGTGATTCTCACCACTTCATTTGAACGCTGAAGGTCTAGAAGGCAGGAGCTGTAAATTTTAGGTCAAGTATGCATACACAGGCAAATACCTACAAACCAACAGGCACGCCTAGCGAATTATATGTATAAAGACGAATATTCATATTACTATGTTTAATTCTGTAGATGTTAGTTTTGTGTGTGTTGATGTGTGTGTGCTGATGGTGTGCGGTTTAGTTGATCTAGGTGTTTGGCCCAGAGCGTTCAAATTGGAAGGATATGGGCGGGGATGAGGGGATGATGGTAGTTGATAGGAGCTCGTTAGGTGCCCTAAATGCAAGAGCCGTAGGATCTGTCATGTCTTTCATATAACCAATGGAACCCTGGCATTTTAGCAGGTGATATGGGTTGTAAACGTGCTGCTAGTGTTCGATGATTAGGACTGATGGCAAATGATAGAGGCCGAAATGGAGTCGCAAAAGGTAATAGTGAATGAATCGGTTATCCCCTCACTGCCAACTGTGTTCGATACGAAGGAATCGGTCAGGACACCTTTGAGCATGGAGGGCTCACCATTGTTAACGTTGAAAGAGGGATTCGTGAATACTTCTTTTAAGACCTGTACCTTAAGACCCTGGCTGTACCCATTCAATGAGTGCAGCCTTGAAATCCCTGCCTACTTCCTTCGGGCGAGCAAATTGCGTTTAACAGTGGCGATGGTAGGAAAGTCTCTTTCAATGAGTTGAACGTGGCGGGACGCCAATCATAAAACGTGATGGCTCTGAGTGCTCCTTGTAGAACTGCGTCATGATCAATTGATAGGAAGGCCACCGGCGAAATATTTTTCTGTTAGAGAATTTTCGAGAGCGATCTACAACTACCCACGAAATCTCACAATAGCTCATGGGTACCGTTCAATGAGCGAAAGTTCTGTTACTCTCTAAGCATCGTTCAAGTCTTCTCCGACCTTGTAACACAAATATCAGTCTCGAGGGACACCACTCCCCTGCATCTTTTTGAACTCGAGCTGTAAAGTAATAGTCTGGAGCCCGCAGGGCATTTGTGAAATCGAAAAGGATGTGTTCTTCTACGATGCCATACACAAACGCAAAATTATCGACAAAATTGAAAAAGTTCAAAACAGTTTCACGAGGAAACTGATGATCAGGGTGGTTGGATTTATGTACGACAGCGTTCCCTCTGCTGCAGGACGTAATGCCAATTTCGGCCTTCGTTCACTTTGCTGGCGTAGGAAAAAGTTCGATCTCCTAACCTGCCACAAGGTACTCACGGGATCTCACTGCCTTCACCCTAGTACCTTTCACACCATCAGAGCTTCCACTACCAGAAATGGTCCTTTCAAACTGGTTCTTTCCAAATCTCGACTGAATTGCCGTTCGCACTTCTTCGTTAATCGCGTTCACCCCCTTTATTTCGCCCTTAGCAAAAAGAAAAGCATACCTATCAGTCTTTCGAGTTTCAAAAAATATCTCAATGAGCATCTAGAGCCATGATGACTTTCTCGTTTCTTGCAGTTTTATTTTTATTAACATTAACCTCCTCTACGCTCTTTTTTTCTTACTACCTCTTACATAAGTGTGGTTACTGTGTGCTTTTGGTCCTGGAGATTGTGTTTTTCTTTTTTTTTTGTTGCTAACTGATCATGTCACATGACTCACGTCATGTAATAAATAAATAAATAAATATATATATATATGCCTCAGCTCCAGAAGTAGAATATACAGGGAGACCGGAAAACGTTTACTTCGCTTCTATTTGGTTTTCGAACCAGCGCCTAATTATGTATACTTTAAAAGAGAAACTTAAGGCTTCAAAATAAGCTCCAGTCGCGTACCACTGCAATTTTTTTTCGAGAGTATCAAATCGGAAGGCGAAAATTGTTATTCTTCCAGATTATATTTTCTCCAAAAGCGATGTCTGACCTTAGGTGATTGACCTGGTCATTGACTTAGCGGAGACATTATAGGGATACACTTCTTCGGTTGCTCCAATTAAGCAAGAGGCTCTTATATACCTTCAAGCTAGTGCTGTCATGCCGTGCCGGGTCCTATTTTTTTTCAAATTGCGATATTTCTAATGCAGCCTCTTCGTAAGCAAAAAAATTCTTTTTTTTCAGGAGCATGGTTCTGAGATTGTTTTGCGAGTGCAAGAGCAGGTGGATCTTCGACGACAATTGGTGAGATCAGAGTATGCAACAATTGAAGTACCAGAGCTAGAACTTGTGATCCCTGCTAAAACTCGTCCAGGGGGTACATTTTCAACTGTTGTATAAAGTTACCCTCTAGTGGCAAAAGTTTATTTCTATGAAGCAGCCTTTTTCAGAGATCACCACTGTTGAAGGAGTTTTGGAAAGAGTTGGTACTGGCCTTTCTCAAGAACAAGACAGAAGGAGAGAGCTGGATCCTGAAAGTGCGGCAAAAATCGACAACTTTCTGGTTCATTTACGAAAGTGCCTAACCCTGTCGGAAAAATGGACTTTGGTACTTTACTACTTCATCGAAGAGTGAGCATCACTCAAAAGCTAATAGCTGTGCCGATAGTGTTCCAGTGAGGTGATCGTACTCACTTCCTCCCTTTTCAGAAGCTCCATGATCCCACGGGAAACTGCTTCATTCAAAATCCTGATCCACGCCATGTCGATCCACGATGTATCGTCTCTCACTACCATCGTATTCTAGAAGAGCGGAAACTCTTGGGACTGGCTGACGATGACGTGTGAGTGAGCCAAATGATTTTTGTACTGTACAGGGAATCAGATTAGGTGGTGTGATCCAGGAGTAGCGAAAAGCGATTGTTACCTGCATGTTTATGCATGGTCATTCTCTTTTCTTGTGTTCTGTGCTTAAGGGTAGTACTCCCGAGAGCCTCGTGGCCCTAAAAGTCTATACGGCATTTTCAGTGAAGAACAAGAACGTACATCGGAGTGGAAGTCATTCGATGATGCAAAAAGAGAGGTCCTCCACTTTCCCACTGAATGCCCAAATTGTGGGTCACCATGCGAAGTCTTGATGAAACCAACAGGTATTTTTTTCCTCTTTCTCCTGCTTATTCAATTGGCTCATATCTTGTCAGTGATGAATGGAGAAATCAGTTCATGAAGACCGACCGGGTTCGTTAGCGAGAATTTGCTCTTGGAGTGACCCTTTTCAATATGCCAGCGAAAGGTTGAACTTGTCAGTAACCCCATAGATCCAATCCCCAAAGACATCTTTACTTGACATTGTGCCATCTTCTTCACAGGTTTCGCGTATATGGAGGCTATGTCGCTAGTGTAATTGAGTTCGTGGCATTCAAATCAACCCTATTAACACTCTGATATTATCAAGAATGGTAGTGAAGCAAGTACAAGCGGAATAACTAATCGTTCCTTGATGCGGGCTGCGCCAAGTGGTGAAATGGTCCTTAGTAAGGCTATTAGAACACCTTTTGTAGCATGATCCCTTCAGAGCCACAAAGTTCCCTCTAAGTCAGAGCCCACTAGTTGCTTTTGTAAAATAAGTAAGGAGAATATGATGAATAAGGCGAGGCAACGAGTTTTTCAATAATTTGACAAATCTAATGATGGGTTCGGATAAACCAATAATGTTAGCTCTTGTATTATATCGATTCACCAGTTGAGCTGCGCACAATACCGTGCGCGTTTCATGACCTTGATAA